AAGAGTGAGAGAAAGAGTCTGGAACTCAAACCATGGACAGCCAGATGGGAGTCCAAAACCTTTAACCACCATGCCACTTGCTGCTCCTTTCATTCAGTTCTTAACAGTCCGATGAAGTGGTTATTATCCACCTATTTCAGACAAGAAAATGAGGCTAGAACATTTAAATACCTGTCTCAAAGTGACACAGCCAGAAAGTGATGGAGGCTGGGTTTCAAGCCTCATTGCAATGACCATCATATTAACCAGCAGGTGTGGTTACAAGTCAGTGTTTGCACAGGAGGGGAAGCGATCTAGGTCAAATCAGGTTAGCTGTAAGGTGATGTGTTGGAGGTGGGTGATAGGTCTAATTCTAGGATATGTTTACAATATTTCTATAATAAAAAAAAAAATCAAGGGACCAGGAGATGGCATAATGGTTATGTCACTGGACTTTCAGGCAGTAACTAAGGTTCAAGTCCCGGATCTGGTGGCTTGAAACTCACACTGGCCATATGTGTGTCTGTGCCCAAAATCCCAAGAGGAGAATGGAGAAGGGATTCTGGTGTGGCCATCTCCCTGGGAGGTGATTTCTCATGTTCTGTCTCTCTGTCTCTACAGTGAGCACACATGCCCTATAGCAAAAAAGAAAGAAAGAGAGAGAGAGAGAGAAAGAGAGAAAGAGAAAAAAAGAGAAAGAGAGAAGGAAAGGAAAGGGGAAAGGAGAAAGGGAAAGGAAAAGGAAAAAACGGGCAGGCAAGTGGCACAGTGGCTGGACTGGCCAACCACAGTTCAAGTCCCAGACCTAATAGCTTGCTTTCTCACTTTTCCTCTCTCTGGTCATATTTTAGAAATAATAATAATGATGATGAATAAAATTAAATAAAGTAATTCTTTTTTTTTTTTTTAAAGGGAAGAGAACAGATAGCGTGATGGTTAAGGTGCTAGACCCTCATACGGCTGACAGTGGTTTGAGTCCCAGACCTGGTGGTTTGCTTTCTCACTTTCTCTTTCTTTCTCTATCTGTGCTGGTCAAATTGAAAAATAAATAACAACAAATAAAATAAAATAAATTTTTAAAAAAGGAAAAAACAGTAAAACTGAAGCCACCATGTGGTGCAGTGGTTGGGTGCTGGATTCCCATGTAGTTGACCATGGTTTGAGTCCAGACCCTGGAGCTTGAAACACACACCAGGCACATGCGCATGAGTGCCCAAAATCTCTAGAGAATGCATTGTGGCATGGCCAACCTCCCTGGGGGTGTCAATTCTTGCTTTCTATCGATCTCTGTCTCTCCAGTGAGCACATGCGCCCTATAGTCAAAAAAAAAAAAAAAAAATCCCTCTTGGGACCAGTGACACAAGAACATAGAGGCTCAGGGGTGATCGAGCCCACACTCATAGTGAGACGTGGGTTCTTGTCCCACACTCAAATAATTAGAGTTGAAGACACAGAGTGCAGGTACAGTAAAACAAGAAGTTTATTATAGGAGAAGGAAGGAAAAACAGAGCTCCCAAAAACGGAGGTCCCAGAAAACAGGGTTCCAAGGATGAACTGTGGGGAGGGGTTTGTAGTTGAGTCGAAAGGGGCTTGTTCAGGTTTGTTCTAGGTGGAGCTGGCATATGCATTCCTCTTCTGGTGCAGAGGGGTGCATGCTGGATGGGTCCAATTATTTTCCTAATTTTGGAGTGGGTACCAAGGTCAGGAGGTTCTTTGCCTAGAAGTGTTGGGCCATGAAAATTATCTTACCTTTTTCTAATGGTGTGATGGGGCTTGAAAAAACCCTTTGTTTTAGGTCTAGATCACGCTGCCTACATCAATCATTCAGCCATTGAGGTCTCTCCCAGCAAGGAGCTAAGCTGCTTTGTCCCATCTTAAAACAGCCATTTTGGGAACCAGCAGGTAGTGTGGTGGTTAAGGTGCTGGACACTCCCACATGGCCAACCATGGTTCGAGTCCCAGATCTGGTGGCTTGCTTTATCACTTTCCCTCTCTGATCAAATTAAAATAAATAAATATATAAATAAAAGTAATCATTTTTTAAAAAACAGCCATTTAGGGACCAGCAGATGGCATAATGGTTACATCACTGGGTTCCCACATAGTGTGCTGTGGTTCAAGTCCCAGACCCAGTGGCTTAAAACTCATGTCAGGGGACCAGCAGTGAGCATAATGGCTACGTCACTGGACTCCCATGTAGTCGACCACAGTTCGAGTCTGGGACACGGTGGCTTAAACTCATGCCAGGCACGTGTGTATGCGTGCCCAAGAACCCAAGAGGAGACTGGAGAAGGGATTGCAGCGTGGACATCCCCCCTGGGGGGGTGTGTGTGTGTGATTTCTCACTTTCTGTCTCCCTGTCTTTCTGGCAAGCACACACATCCTATAGCAAAAACCTCTCAAAAAAAAAAAAACTCACCTCACGTCAGACCCAAAATCCTAAGAATGGGAGAGAAAGGATTGCTGTGTAGCCACCCCCTCCAACCCTGGGGATGATTTCTCGCTTTCTGTCTCTCTGTCTCTGTCTCTCTGAAGAGCACACACACCCTATGGAGAAAAAAAATCTCTCAAATAAACTTAAGCCATTTTGTGATTACACTTCGGGCCTATACTCTTTATTTTTAGGGTCCTGTCGCCTACCTCACCAACAGGTGGCAGTGGTTAAGCCGCTGGACTCCCAAATGGCTGGCCACGGTTCCAGTCTCCGACCAGCAGCTTGAAACTCACCCATAGCAAAATAATCTTTCCCCCCCCCCCAAAAAAAAAACAAAAACAAAAAACTCACTCTTTAAAAAAAAATTGAAACCAGTTTTTAAATTGGGTTGAATTGGATTGGGGGTTGAAAGAACCTGTGGGTGCCCCAATGGTTGCCACTATCCCCACCCCAATAACCGTGAGAGCCCTAGCAACAGGGGCAGTAGAGGCTGCACTGGCCTTCCCAAAGCAACCCAACCTAGCAGATGCCTGCGCCACGGGGAGCCGAACTCACGTCTCCAAAGAAACCCCTCCAGAGACACACGGTCCCAGCCCATCCTCTCCCCGTGCGAAAGACTCTTGGGGAGATCCTGCCCCAGCGCAGGGCCAGGTCCCCACCAGAAACAGAACTGAACCCGCCTCTCACAACTCTGAGGAAGCAAGAACACGGGGAACCCAACTGTATGCAGCCCCCAAATCACAGGGATGTAATTCCCCCCCCCCCATACCTGTGGGGACGTGCATAGGCCGAGTCACCTTCGGCCAAAGGAAGCCCTCAGCATTCGCCGGGCTACCTCCTCCCCCTCCCCGCCTCAAGGAGGGGCAGCGACCCCAACAGTCGGGCACCCCCACGAACTCCTGGGCATTACACCCCACTCGCGCCCCTCCAGTCTCGCAGCGTCACGGAGACTGGACAACCCCCGACCTGGTAAGTTCGACGAAGCCGCACCCCAGACCTTCCCAACGGCCCAAACAGCGCGCTGCAGTCTCGCCCCTCTCCCGGGTTATCGAAACACGCCCCCAGCCTCCGAAGCTTCTGGCTCCACCGACCCGCTAGCCGGGTCCTCCTGCCTTGGAAAGAACAGCACGGTTGGAAAGAAGGGTCCTCGGTCTTGACAAGTGGAGGCCTGTCCACGTGGCACAGTGACCGCAAACGAAGGTGAAATCGCCAGAGCTGAGCATGCACAGCGGCAGTTATCTCGAGTATTCCTCGTGGCGCAGGACAACGTACCCGGCGTCCTCAGCGCGGCTGCCGCCCCGTGGACTACAATACCCAGAGTTCTCAGCGCCGCCTCCTCTCCTGGACTACAATAACCAGCGTCCTCAGCACGGTTGCTGATGGACTACGTACAATCGCCCATGATGCTGTCCATCACGACTACCTACCCAGAATTCTCAGCGTGGCCCGGGTGTGCGATACTTGCCATCTTCTTTCAGAGCGTCCTATCCTTATTCTCCTACTCCCAGATTCTGACTTCAATCGCTGAAGGAATTGATATCGGAAGCCAGCTGGGATTTCCTAGCCCAAACTCAGTGTGAATTCTATGCCGAGATGCAGCCGCAGCAAAAAGCTGATCTGATTTATAGGTTGATATGAATGGAAGAATTTAATTTTTATGTATAACTAAAGTTAGATAAAACTGTGACTCATTAACGTTTTAGACTTTTTTGGGGGGGAGGCATTGTATTAATTTTACCCCTACCACCATTTGATATTCCAGCTCTCCGCAAACATATATCACCTCCTCTGAGAAGTCGTCCCTGATTACTCAGTGTAATTTATAGCTCCCACTCCCCTCATCTCCATGTCATCCGGTTGAGGTAGAAGTTAAGAAAGGCACTAGGTAAGCCATAGAAAGATTATGAGGAGGTCATTCAAAGCCAGTCAGATATATTTATTTTCTTTAAAAATCTAGTTTCTGGGGCCGGCAGATGGCGTGATGGTTAAGGCAGCTGGATTCTCACATGGCTGACTGTGGTTCGAGTCCCAGACCTGGCAGCTTGCTTTCTCACTTTCCTTTTCTCTATGTCTCTGATCAACAGCAAAAAGATAAAATAAAATAAAGACAATGAATACAATTAAATATTTTTAAAAATCTAGTTTCTTTCTCTTTTATTGCCTGCCCCTGCAGGTGGACTCCAAATGGAACCAGCAATTGTAATCTACCCCACAGGTCATACCAAAGAACAATTAGAGTCAGAGACCAAGGGCCAGACAACAGAAAAATGAAATCTAAAGTACCTGGGCCCAATAAAAACTACGAGATAAGCTGATAGGCACAAAATGAAATCCCAAAAGTTATAAGGTAGAGACATAACAGGAGCACAAGAAACTGCTTGCAGCAGTGACTTAATGATTGACCTAAAACAAAGGCTTTTTTCCTGGTCCCTCCACATTCCAGGAAGAACATAGTGGTCTTTTATGGCCCAAAACTTTTAGGCAAAGGGAGTCTCCTGATCTTTGTACCTACTCCAAAATTAAGAAAAATAACCAGACCCATTTGGCATGTGACCCCTATCACGAGCGGAATGCATGCACAAGAAGCCCAAACAAAGTCCCTCTGACCCAGATTAAAAAACATCTCCTCAGTAGTATCCCTTCCTTGTATCTGCATCTTTAATTCTTCATGAGCATGAGCCTGAAAGCTTATGGCTCTAGATTTGACTAGACCACACCACCTTCCCACATCACCATGTTCCTATGACATAATTTGTCTTATTCAAAATATAAATCCAAATGTGAAATTGTCTTTTTGTTGTTGATGGTGATCTTTATTGATGTTTTTCCTACAGAAAGCAAGCTCCATGAAGGCAGGGGTGAACATGGAGGTGGAGAAGGGGCCTTGGCACATTCACAATCCCTGGTTGGGCTGCTGGCTACACCTTCCCAGCCTGGATGGTCTTGAGAAACCCTGCCATGGTATCAGAAGCATGTTTGTCAAAATACCTGACACCCTTCATGTCAGTGAGTATGAGCAGCTCTCAACTGACAGAAAGCTTCTTGGTTCACAGGTGGCAGTTGCAAGGTAAGTTGACAGTGTCTTGTTTAGAAGACTGCCACATTGCCATCAACCCATGGAAAAACCTTTTTTTTTTTTAGAGGTGTTCGCTATAGGGTGCATGCACTTGCCAGAAAGACAAAGAGAGACAGAGAGACAAAAAGCGAGAAATCACCCCCCCCCCCCTAGGGAGGATGGCCATGTCGCAATCCCTTCTCCTCCATTCTCCTCTCAGGATCTTGGGCACACATGCATATGCGCCCAGCATGAGTTTAAGCCACTGGGGCCAGGACTCGAACCATGGTTGACTACATGGGAGTCCAACGACATAGCCATTACACCAACTGCTGGTCCCAGAAAAAACATTTTTAAGGTTAGAACAAAATAGCTCTGTAAGAGCAATCACATGCTATTTTCCTTACACTGATGAAGAGTTGAACGACAGTAAAAACCAGGTTTGCTAGAGATTGGACCTGCAGATGTGTGGGGAAATAGCTCACCTGAGCCCAGCTGTAGGGCTGCCATTGCTGACTTACTAGCAAACACAGAAGCCCCTACACCCACAGAAGACCAACACTGGCCACTTCCAAGGAATGGGAGAATGTCCCTAGTTTTGTTGCCATCCCTTGTGTGATGATCAGATACACTCTAGTTTTGTTAAGCCCAGGTGAAATGTTTGGAACATATAGTTTCAGAAGAAGGATTATTAACAAACACAGAAAGAATCAAAGGCATTTCAGCTTTCCAAAAAAAAACAAAGAAACAAGGTTTTTTTGTTTTTTTTTTTTTGAGAGGTTTTTGCTATAGGGTGTGTGCGCTCGCCAGACAGACAGAGAGAGACATAGAGACAGAGAGCAAGAAATCACCCCCCAGAGGGGATGGTCACGCTGCAATCCCTTCTCCTCCATTCTCCTCTCGGGATCTTGGGCACGCACGCACACGCGCCCGGCATGAGTTTTAAGCCACTGGGTCCGGGATGTGAACCGTGGTCGACTACAGGGGAGTCCAGCGACATAGCCATTATGCTAACTGCTGGTTCCCAGAAACAAGGGTTTTTAGGATTGACTGAATATTGTCATAATTGGATATCAAATTTCTCTTTAATAACTCAACCGTGATAATGCCCTTAAAGGCAGAGCTACCAGACCCTAGCATCTGGACTCAGAAGGACAGCCAGCTATGCAAACAATGATGAAAATCTTGTTAATGCCCGAGTTCTGGGACACTCCAACTATGACTTGTCCTTTTTCTTGTTTGTAAATGAGGACAAGGGAAATAGTACACGGGTTCTAACTCAGAAACATGGGGGCCAAGCCAGCAGATCGTGTAGTTGTTAAGTCACTGGATCCCATATGATTAACTGAATAGTTTGAGTCTCAGACCCTGTGTCTTGGAAAACATGCCAGGCACATGGGTGTGGATGCCCAAAATTCTGAGAGGAGGATGGAGGAGAAGGGATTACAGTGTAGCCATTCCCCTGGAAGGTGATTTCTCACTTTGCCTCTCTGTCTCTCTCTGGAAAGCACTTGTACCCTGTAGCAAAACAAACAAAACAACAAACAAACAAAAGTAAAAAAAATAATATGGAGATTAAAATAGACTTGGGAAGGACTATAGCCTGCAATTAGGTACAGTAGCTAGGGCTTGCCACTCTGCATGAGAGCAATCTTAGACACTGCTCTGCTTCTTCAGGCAACTGAAAAAAAAAAATCACTATGGGTTTGCCTCTTTAACAATCTATATTCCTCATTCAGTGGAAAATCTACCATTCTCACATTACTCTGCCAGTAGACTCACCCTGTATGAGGTTCCCTTTTTGTTTGCATCTAATATTCCTGTTTCTCATTGCAATTATCTCAGCAGTGCAACTCTCATACTATTGCCTCTGATGCAATGCCCAATGGCCATATCACCTTGACAAACCAGCTTCTCATACCTAGACAGGACTTTTTAAAAAAATGTATTTATTGTCATCTGTTATTATTTTAAAAAAGAATTATTTAAATTTATTAATTATTATTATTTTTTACTTTAACCAGAGAGGGACAGAGTGAGTAAGAGAGAGAGAGGGAAAGTGAGAAAGCAAGCTGCCAAGCCTAGGACTTGAACCATGGTTGGCCATAACCCCTATAAAGAAGATAGCCATGCTGTAATCCCATCTTCTCCATTCTTCTCCTGTGATTTCAGGCAGGCATGCACATGCAACTGGAGTGATTTTGAAGCTGCCAGGTCTGGGACTTGAATCCTGGTTAGCCATGTGGAAATTCAGTGCCTTAAGCACCAAGCCATTATACCACTGGCATAATAGTGGTATAATTTAAATGGAATAAGATTTACCTAATAGATGCATCTGGGTCTCTAAAGATATGATACAACATTATTAAATTTTAAAGAGAGAATAAGGAATCATGGATTGTATTTCCAAAGGTGCAATACTGATTATTTATCATACTGAAAAAATTAATCAATTGGTAGGTTAATATAAATATATTTCATGGTTTAGAATAGGACATAAAGCAACAAAATATTTAAATACATTTTTTAAATGAATGATACATAAATAAGCTCATGTTCATAACCATATTATTCACCCATTGCTGCATGCTCATATTACTGTTTATTTGAAGTTTTACTTGCACAAGTTCCCTAAGAAGAGTGCTTAGAAGTTCTTGTGGAAATACAGGAACTGAATTCTGTAATTGTTTAAGACAAGAAAATAATATGATAATACGGAGCATTTACTCAGTTTCAATGAATGTGCTTAAATTTGCTCTCTCTGCTACCTGGTAGGAAGAGATTTAGAGCTACCTTGCCCACACAAAGAGGATTCTTCTTTATCTTGCAAAGAAAACGGTCACATGAAATGGAAAAAGTAAAAGGTTTCAGAAGAAAATAAACATATCTTTATCTTTTACTTGGTTTTCTGTTGAAGAAATAACAATGTCCACTGCTAAAAGTCACCTGTAAATCAACATACACATACAAATACTGCTCTGGGGTGACGATTTTATTTTCCTGAGAGCAGGGTATGATACAGTTTTGGATGTTAAGAAGTAGAACAGCAGAAATAAGGTGATTACTCATTTAAGCCAAATGAAAAAAACAAGGTCTAACTGTCTAACCATTCCATTGACTTCAGATAGTCTGCAAGCAGTCACAGACCCTGACACGTTTAATGTCTTCACGGGGGACCCAACGGGCCTTCTGC